ATCTTCTGGCCTTCAGTTCTCCCTCCTCTCACTGATTTTCCCATTCATTTCCACTGTGTCCAGACCACTCACTGCTGCTGACTGACTGAGGTTCTAAAAAAAAATCTGAAAACTGAATTTTTTAGTTCCTAAATTTGGAACAGAGGATCTACATTTGTAATTTCTAGAGAAGAAATAAAAGAATATGCAGGAATTTTTGGGATAAACAAATTAAAAAAAAAAAGATTGTTTGACTCAAAGTCTCAAATACTTAAATATATCAAGTCCCGGTACAATCCCCTAGTGGGCAGAGGTTGAATTGTTGGAAAAAAAATTAAAATCAGTACAGCGCTGTAGAATAATGATACAGTATTGTCAAACAAACAAAATATATATAAATATGTATTTACATATTTATAACCAACTCAAATCCCAACAAGACTTATAGAAACGGACGGAACAATCTAGAACCCCACGTTCCATCCCTTGACATCAGTTCTGGGTCATATTCTCCTCCAGTGGTCGAGATATTCATTCAACATTATCTTTAATTCTGACCATGACATTTTTGTCTCCAGCTCGGTAAAAATAACAGCCTTTAAATCCACATTGATCCTGATTTACCCCGGGCCCAGTGAGGACGACGGGCCACAAATGTTCAACCACCAAAGTTCACGTCTCACACGGTCATGTGACTGACACTGAACTGAATGTTAATCTTATTATTGATATGATTGACTTGAAGTTGAAGATTTGATCAACAAACACGAACACTGTCACCGTTTTAGTCAGTTCTCATTCAATTTTTGACGCTTTGTGACGAAGTCGTTCTAGTGACAGTTCAGCACAGAAGACATGTCCAAAATCACGTTCTTATTGGACTCCGTTCTGGTCGTAGAGGCCAATCATTTCGTTAATCATGACCTCGTTTATTTCCCTGTTAACGTGTTCTGTTTTGGTGCCTTTAAACATCACACCACGCCTGTGATTTTTTTAAATTTTTTTTTTTTAAACTCTTGCTGTGAAAAACCAGTTGTACATTTGCTTTGCCTGCTGTATCTCCCCAACCCTGAACAGTATTCTTTCCAAACAGCTGTAAATGCTCCAAGGCAGTGATAATAAATCATTTTTGCTCGACAGCAGTCGGTGTTGTTTGTCGATTAGCTGTACACACCGATAACTGGCACAAAATATATTAAAAAAAACACACACACACACTGATACATTTTTACAAAGGAAACGTTTTATTGTGTGGAAAAGGTCAACTTAAAAAAAAAAAACTGGTACGTACACCGAGGGGTGCGCAAACCCCACTTTGAGAACCCCTGTTGTAAATTCTACTTGAAAATAACTTTACAATTTTTTTTTTTAAATTATATAAAATTGTTGGTAAGGAAATAACGCTGGGGTGACCGTGGCCAAAACTTGGGTAAGGCCCCACCTGGCACATGGTAATGAGCAGGAGGGACAGACCAGGTGACGGTGGTGAAGCTGATTACAGGGAGAGGCCGACAGCAGACACCAGCCACCGGCTCCACATGTTTGACTCCAACTTGATTCTCAGATTTGAATCCGTAAATTAGAGGTTTTTAAACTTTTTTATTTTAAAACCCCACAAATGTGGACTTTGGACAGTTTTCAGTTTTCAGTTAGTTTAGTGTAAAAGTTGTTGATGTTAAACGTTAAACATATCGAACAGTTTATATATTTCGTCAGTGTTTTCCTGTGTGGGAGTTTGTTTGTGGGGCAAGAGGGCAGAGGGGGGAGGGGTGGGAGGGAGAAAAGCAGGTTTTTAAAGTGTGGTCACGTATTTGTCTGCTTGACATTTCATCTTCTCTGGTCGGTGGGAGCCGGCGGTTCTTCTGGGTAGAACCATCATGAAGAACATTTCATTAAAAGTCTCGTTCCTGGTTCTGCTGCTGGGTTTGGTCGACGCTCAGCCAAAAAAGGTAAGAAAACGAAGAAATACAAATGTCCTCAATATAATTGGAGCGAGTGAACATGGAAAATGATGAGCTGCAGTGACACGGTCTGTCCTATAAACGACCAGCGTTGAAACGACCAGCTGTGAGTGACATCATCAGGAGTCACTGTAAAAGAAAAAGTAACAAATCTTATATTATCGTGTTCAAAGATTAGTAAGTAAGTTTGTTAGTAAAATGTATCCTGTTGTAAAGGTGCTAATACACGTAAATTAGGGATGTCCAATAATATCGGACGTCAGATGTTAGCATAATTATGTCATATCTGTAAGAGTCGTTATCGGTTTTTCCTTTGATAATGAAAACCTGATAACTCAATGCCTGGGTTTCATCAAATAATGTTTGACCTAAAAATTGTTTTGGGGGAAAAACGGCTGTATATGAAAGTGAAAGACACTAGATGGCAGCATTGCAGATCATTTTATTAATGTATTTTAATTATGCAGAATGTTGGTGCCAGTAACTCAGATCATTTTATTAATCTATTTTAATTACGCAGAATGTTGGTGCCAGTAAAGATAATTAAGAATCACTGCTTTGTCCAATCACTTTAGTGAGCAGACAACACTTCACTTCCTTTACCACCAGGGGCACCACTGCCCCGCTGTATCTGTATCAGTTGATATCAAAATCGGAAATGAAATGTTTGGACAATATCGACATATCAAATATCGTCAAAAAGACGTAACTAACGTAAATAATAATATTAGACACAAAGACAGCGTCCGAGTGTCGTTTGCCTAAAAACGCTGTAAACAACAGGGATTGGGTGTTTCCACAGTCAGACCAATGGGAATGTAACGATTTTTTTTTAATCCGATCTTTGGTCTGAGAACGATGTCGTCATGTTTGACGATGTTGTGAAATGTTTTCTGTCGTATTTTCTCAGAACAACTGGGACATCTACAGCTTCCACATCAACTGCTCCGTCAGCGGTCGCTACGCCACCACCCTCATCGCCAGCCGCGTGGCCAATCGGATGAATGAGTCCAAGGAAATAGAATTCCACGTCCGGATTCCCAAGAATGCATTCATCAGTAAATTCAGGATGTAGGTGAAGGTGTAGGCACAAAAGAATCAACAACATCAACGTCAATGAACTGGAAGTACAAAGAAGTATGTGTGTACTACGTGTGTACTTCCTCAGGTTCTTGGACGGACAGTACTACGATGGTGCTGTGAAAGCCAAGGAAGAAGCCCAGCAGCAGTACACCGGGGCGGTGTCCCGGGGGGAAAGTGCCGGGCTCGTCAGGTGGATGTTCAGATTTTTTGTTTTTGTTTTGAATTCTTCTTTTCTCTCTCTGTTGCTGATGAGTTAAAACCAGTTATTTTAAAAAAAAATCTTTTGATAAGTCCGTCTGCAGGATTTTCCCCTTTCAATTACACTAAAATACACTACATTCCAGAATGTTCTTCTGGCCGCTCCGCCCTGTCAAAGCCTCTGTAATTCTGCGCTTCATTCTGACGTTCTGTAGCCGTGGAAACTGAAACAGATCTAAACTTCTGTTTCTTTTCTTTTCTTTTTTTTCCCGAGTCAGACTTCCACTAAAAACACGTGTCCTTATTATCAGTGTTAATTTGATTTCAGTAACTTTTGTCAAAGACACCGTCTACTAGCGTCTATTATTTCGTGCTAAATGTTGATGAAAAAATTAACTGATGTCTTAATCAACAAATAATAAACCAAGAGACGTACAATTGACGCAAATTTCTTCAAAATATCAAAATAAAACACCTTTTAGATCAGTCTTTTAGATTATCCTTAAATGAATAAAGTAAAGGGATTTGACTGAATTCTCTTTGAATGAAGTAAATTAGTGAAGCTGAAGTACTGTGGCCCGGTACCAAATGACCGACGGACCAGCACCGGTCCCAGGACCAGAGGTTGGGCAACCCTGATGTAAATGATTGAAATTAGTCTAGAAGAAGGGACATATAAACGGAGATGACGAAATCAAATTGGTTTAGTATGAAAATGTTTTTTCCAATCATCGAAACTAGAGTAAAAAGTTAACCCTCAGCTGTAATCAATGTTTAGAAAAACAAAAACCTCAGACGAATGTTGTGTGTCGGTGCTGCAGGGCTGTGGGCCGGACCCTGGAGGAGTTCAAGACCTCGGTGAATGTGGCCGCTCACCAAAAGGTGACGTTTGAACTCACCTACGAGGAGTTGCTGAAACGCAAACACGGCAAGTACAAGGTACAAATCCACGCCCAACCCATGCAGCCGGTCAAAGACTTCAAGGTGAGTGTCGGCCGCTGCGCAGAGAAACACCAAACTGAGGCTGGAGGTCTGTTCACGGGTCAAATGTTGGCGTTGTCGTTCACAGGTGGACGTTTATATCAAGGAGAAAGAAGGCATTAATTTACTCCAGGTTAAAGGAAGTCTGAGCAGCAGCGGCCTGAACGACACCATCACCAAAACACTTGCGGACAAAGAGGTACGGCGAGCGACGACGCTAATCTGAACCGTAATGAGGTTAATTCGTTCCACAAAAGTTCGATCGTAATTAATCATTATAATGATAATGATAGAAAGTGTGTGTGTAATTTGGAGAGAAGGGGTAAATGTGTGTATAATGTTGGAAATACTGTGTGTACCATCTACTGTACATCATTCTTGAGCCACATTTACTCTAAAACTTAACTTATACAAAAAGTATAAGTAAATAAATATAATAATAGTCAGTTTAAATTAACTCACAATTTATAAAAAATATTGGCCTGTTTAGATGAAGAGAGCGCTGATTTAGTCGCAGGAATTGAAGAAAGACACCCACAAAGATCTTCAACAGCTCTAAATCTCTTTTTTAGTTTTTTAGTTTTCATAACCCTCTGCTGCCACCTAGAGACAGAGTGTTTAATTCTTCTGCCTGTCATTCACGCATTGACAAACAGAGAAAAATGAGTTGCAATCAATCAATAAATAATAGTTTTCAGACTAATACAAAGAAATCGGATCATTTTCCGCAGCACAGCTAACGGTATTATCATGGCACACTAGCGTGCCACGCCACAGAGGTTGAGAATCACGGCTCTACATTCTAATGTTCAGTTGATTTAATGAATACATTCGATCACGTCCTGTATCTGGAAACGTCCTCTGTGACTGTTCGCAGGCCTCGGTTCACTTCTACCCCACAGTGGAGCAACAGAAAACCTGTAGCGGCTGTGGAGGGAAGGGCCTGGACGGAGATCTGATCGTTGTTTACGATGTCAACAGAGACGAGCCATTTGGAGAAATTGAGGTTCGAGCAGCGATAGATGTTGATAAAGGAGAACAAGTTTTCACAAATTCTGAAAAAAAAAAAAAAAAAAAATCTAAATAGCGCCCTCTCTCTGCCACCAGGTGTCAGAAGGATACTTTGTCCATCACTTCGCTCCGTCCAATATTCCCCGCATACCGAAGAGTGTGGTCTTTGTCATTGATCAGAGCGGCTCCATGCACGGCAGGAAAATTGAACAGGTGATTGACCTTTGTCTGACCTCCGTGTGACCTTTAACACCTCCTAAGTGTGGGCACTTTGTGTTTGTTCCTGTCTCCTCCCGCAGACCAGGATAGCCTTACTTCATATTCTATCGGATCTGGCCGAAGAGGACTTCTTTGGTCTCATCTCGTTCGACAGTAGTATTTTTCACTGGAAGCCTGAACTTGTCCAGGCCACACCTGGAAACCTGGAGGACGCCAAGGCGTTTGTCAGAAACATTCGTGACAGAGGGGGTTAGCATTTTTCCTTATTGCGTTTGTTTTGCAATGTAGGCATTTGCACAGTTGATGGCAGTAGAATATGCTACCGTATGTTTCCATGTCAGAAGAACTAGGGATGTCCGAAAATATTGAATCGACCCATATTAGCATAATTATGTGATATCGGAAAGAATCGTCATGGATGGAGGTTTTCCTCCGATATTTAAAACCCAATAACGCAATGCCTGGATTGGACTATTGGATATCGGCAAAAAGTCAATATCGGACATCCCTAAAAGGAACCAGATACTGTATCGCTAATGGCGTCTTCTGTGTGGCATACTTTGAGTTGCATCCACATACTTAATAGCGCCTCTAGTGGCAGCCTGTGTGGACTGCAAAGACTCAAACAGTGAACTCCTCCATTGTATTATTGTTGTTATTTAGCCACAGACATTAATGATGCAGTCCTGCAAGGAACACGTATGCTGAAGGTTAGTTCCAGACCCGGGGTCGCGTCCATCCTCGTCCTACTCACTGACGGAGATCCAACCTCAGGTTAGAAATTTGGTTGTTGGTTGACAGATGTGCGAATCCTGCATCTCTTAAAAAATGTTCAAGATTTTAATATTTTCATGATAAGGATTTAGTCGCTGTGTTAACGATGACTCTGACGTCTACGATTTTTCTTTTTTTCCCAGTTATTTTTCTGGAGTTGTACTCACTCCTTGTCTGCCGTCTTTCGCAGGTGTAACTAATTTAGAAGTCATTCAGTCCAATGTGCGGGAGGCGATCGCGGGAAGTTTCCCTCTCTACTGTCTCGGCTTTGGTTTTGACGTCAACTTTGACTTCCTCAAGAAGATGTCCCTACAGAACAGTGGTTCCGCACGGAGGATTTATGAAGATTCTGACGCCGATTTACAACTGCAGGTACGATTTTCACTCGTTCCAATACCCACGTCCCCACGTGATTGGCTGGAGGTTCATGGAAACGTCTTAACATGTCACGCGTCCACAGGGTTTCTACGAAGAGGTGGCGACTCCTCTGTTGACCGATGTGACAATGATTTATGTAGGCGGGGCCAATTTGACCCAGACGAACTTCAGCCAGTACTACAACGGCTCGGAGATCGTGGTGGCCGGTGAGATCACCAACAACGACATTGAAACCTTCAGTCCTGGGGCTGTGGCCTTTTCTGTGAGTATGGACCCAAACACGCACGATGGCAGTGAATTTAGTGAGTGGTTTTGGAGACGTCTGACCTCTGACTTTGACAGAGAACCAAAAAAATCATCTTTGAAAAAGCAACTCCCATCAAGGAGCGACCTGAAGCCGTTTCTGATGTTCACATCCAGAGAGTTTGGGCTTTTCTCACCGTCAAACAACTTCTAGATAAAGAGTAAGTCTTTTTCTAAAATGAAAATTTCTTCGAAATAGCGCCGGGGCGGACTTTATATTTCTTTCGTAACTGTCAAATGTCAAAGAGGTCCATCAGTATAACACAGAGGCAGATCGTTTTGTAGAAGGACTAAGTGGACCATGGGGGGGCAGCATCGGTGACCCCAGCTCTCGATCATTGATTCCCAAAGACTGGTTTGTGACCCTCGGGTGGGTCGCAAGAGTTTTTTTTTTTTTGGCCGTCTCGTATCATGTTTCCCAGGAGTTTTACGACTTTAAAACTTTAAAAACTTAAAACTTAAAATATGGGTCCCCAGAAAATAAGTTAGTTATAAGGGATAAGTTATAAGGGAAACACTGCTCTGGATTAAGGTCAATATAGGACTAAGTTGGACTTGGACCAACAACTGCAGCTAAAGGGCAAAGCAGTTTGTTACAAATGTGACCGTTTTATCCAAATCTTTTATAGTAACTATGGTAATTGTGTAGATTATTGTCAGTCACAGACAAACATCATGTTAATAATGAAATAAATAAATAAGAAAGTCTGTCAGAGCTGAGCTGCAAAACATCTAGAACACGTGATACGACCAAGTTGGATCCATTAGATTTGACGATATCAACGAAGGAAAATATAAAATCACAAGATGGAAGCTGTAAATTTATGCGATTGAAGTCATAAGTTTATAAGAATAAAGCCATGATGGTGATGATGATGATGATGATGGTAATGATGATGATGATGATGATGATGATGATGAAGATGATGTGATGATGATAATGATGATGATGATGATGATGATGATGATGTGATGATGATGATGGTAATGATGATGATGATGATGATGATGATGTGATGATGATGATGGTAATGATGATGATGATGATGATGATGATGAGCCAAAACGTTGAAGTTCCACAACTCTCTCGTCTCACCAAAAAAATGCATGATATACTTTCATTTAGCTGACTTTAGCTAACTGGGGCAGTGGTGGCTTGGTGGTTAAGGAAGTGGACTTGGCTCCGGAAGGTTTCGGGTTCGAGTCCCCCAGCTGCCAAGTTTCCACTGAGGTGCTCTGAGCATGGCACCGTCCCCATACACTGCTCCCTGTTCGCTTTGGTGATGGGTTAAAAGCAGAGGTCACATTTGGTCGTGTGCAGTGGTGCAGTGGTGCAGGGGTGTGTCACAATGACAAGTGGTTCACTTTCTTCTTCCTTCGTTTGGTACAGACTTCAGGCGTCTGGGCCGGAGCGGGAGACAATCAAGAAAAAAGCCCTGGAGCTGTCGCTGATGTACAGTTTTGTGACACCGCTTACATCCATGGTGGTCACGAAGCCTCCAGGAGAAAACGCAGATGTGTTGGACAAACCTAAAGAGGACAAAGAGTCGCTTCACACACAGGGTTATTTGGCCCATTCCCCGCCGTACCCTAGCGGCAGATTTATGTTGACAAGACCAAGACCAAAAGGAGCAAAAGTCCATACAGCTCCTTCAAGAGGTTCGGCATGTGAGTAAAACACATCACAGAAAAGAGAAGGACGGTGGTGAATTTACATGATAAATCTGAGAAAGAATGAACGCGAAACGATCTGGTGTAAAGTTCTGTGTCTTCAGTTCTACGGTGTGAAGTTCACTGAAGACACAGTGCGAAGAAACAAAACACAATCTTTTACGATTAAATACAGGTTTTGTCTAAACTCCTTGACAGTTCGGCCTGGTCTGGGAAGTAGCCCGCCATCTTTGAAAGGTACAGAGTCACCGTCCTTTATTTTCACTATCTAACAGCTGAAGCTAAGAACAAATATGTGCTGAAAAAGGCCATGTGTGAACGTGACCTTTAAGTCCGTGTTAACTGGTTGACCAGGGTTAAAGTTGGACAACAGGAGAAAAACCAAATCATTTAAAATGTATAAAAAGCCATAACACAAGTCTAAAACGGATTTTATGTGATCTCTTTTACAGATCCATTGATGAGAACATATCCATCTCTACCAGGTACAAATATTCAATTTTCTTTATTTGAAATTTCACTGTTTCACTGCTGTCAGTTTCTGTTGTGTAACGACTAATGCTAATTTGTGGAGTGCCTCTAGTGGTGCATCCCTGTAAAAGTAGGTAATGTGTTAATTCGACGACATGATGAACTAAAAATTGTTATGGCAAAAAACAGCTGCAAGTATCAGTATTGGTTGATATCGGAATCAGAAATGAGGTGTTTGGACATCCATAAAACAAGTCTAAAACAGGTTTTGTATGATCTCTTTTACAGGTTTTACGAAACTAACTAGACAATCCTGTTCCTGGTAACATTTGTCAATCATCAATTTTCTTTATTTGAAATGTCACTGTGTCACTGCTGTCAATTTCTGTTGTGTAACAGAAGCTAAAGCCTAGAACAAACTCAAAACCAGTTCATATTGACAGTCAGAGTCTGAGACAAGTTGAAGACAGAGTTAACTGGTCAACCAAAGGTAAAGTGGGAGGACTGTTAAAAAAAAAAAAAAAAAAAAAAAAACCGAAGAAAACAGAAAGTGGGAAGAATAAAACACAATGCAGAAAGCTGGGGCACTCTGTTGAAGCCGGGACTTGAACTAGTGACTGAGTACTCAAAAGATAATCTGTCCTAGCTGGGGCTTGAACTACTGACTTCATAGAAATCAAAGGCAGTCTTCCCTAGCCAGGACTTAAACCATTGCCTCAGGACTGAAAAGGCAGTCTGTCTTGGCGGGGTCTTGAACTAGTGAGTAAGAACTCTTAAGGCAATCTGTGGTTGGTACCAGTGACTTGTGTTAGGAACTAGTGCTGTGATAACCACCTCAGTCAGAACCATAGTGTAATGGTTAGCACGCCTACCTCTGCAGCAGGAAGTTCTGGGTTCAATTCCCAGAGGAACCACATGCTTTGCGCCTGCCATGGGGCAGCCTGTCACAGCTGAGCTGCTGTTTTAACAAGAATGGGTTCAAATTGTTATTATTATTATTAATACCATGTGACCATGAGGCCAGTCACATGTGTATATATTTCCAAACATTTGTCAGATTGGTTCTAACAGGGTGTCAGAGAGGCATGGCACGACTCTTATTTTATTTCTCTGAAAATAAGACTATAAAGTTGATTGAATAACCTTGAAGTCTGTAACAGGTTTTGTGTACATTTTTTCACAGATCTATCGTATGGTAATCTTCTCCAAGTTGTCCAGCCTCCAATAGGTACTGCATCCATGTCCTTTATTTACATTTTCACTGTGTAACAGATAAAGCTAAGAACCAAACCTTTGCTGAAAACCTCTGGTTCAGTGGTTTAGTGGGATGACCATTTGATCACTCAAAAAGAGAGAATGTAAAATACATTGCAATAAGCCGGGACTGAAAGTTAATCTGTCCTAGCTGGGAATTGAACTATTGACTCTGGGCTGGCGGGGTCTTGACCTAGTGAGTAAGAACAATTTGTCCTGGTTGGGTTTGGAACCAGTGTTAGAAACTAGTGCTGTGATGACCCGCTGCTGACTACCATGTGACCATGAGGCCGGGACTTGAACAAGTGACTATGTACCCAAAAGATAATCTGTCCTAGCTGGGACTG